TTGATCCGCGACAGTACAAAGACAACCTCATGATCGCCGACACGAAGTCCAAAGTCGTGGCGCTATTTGTTTATCTCAAGAAGTTATCGGAGAAATGGTTCTCTCATGTCCTGCTACTGGCTTTCCTCATACTGTACGCCTGTATGGGCGCCTGGATCTTCGAGTCCGTTGAGGGCGGCTATGAGAAGGAACAGAATGTATAGTATTCTTGAAGTATTTACAGAATATTTTGTGAATTGTGATGAAAAAATCACAGAATTTTATATGTGTTATCACTTATAAACATAGAATTTATTTATCACTCAAATTCTGACGTAAATTCTTAGGCGATTGTCCGCCAACTCCGAATGCCAGTCGATAATCTGACCGATAAATTGACAAAACGTTTGTGGAACGAGAGGCTGAAGTACCCGTTGCCGGGCGAGGGCTGGCAGGCGCTGGATGTGGACAGCCGTTGGGACGCCTTCGCCCGTAAAGCGTTGGCTCAGTTTGAGACTCAGGTGTCCATAACGTGCAAACAGGGCGTCCAAAGGGGTATATATCACGACTACGAGTCTAATAAGTGGACATTTATGGGCGGATTGTTCTTCAGTATGACTGTCTTCACGACAATCGGTGAGTATTTTGTGGATTTTGTCGCATTTTGTGGTAAATTGTGATATGATTTATGGCTAAGAATTTTTTGTTTAAGTTTTTTGGCATAAGATTTATATACAGTACTTATAAATGTATTCATAGCCAGTTGAGTGACAATTGACGTTAGATTTTATTTTTGATTATTTGTGTGGATTTTGTAAACTTAAGCTTATAATTTGTTTTAATGTTAATAAGAGTTTAATTTTTAAATAACTTTAAGTATGATATGAAATGTGATAAATTAATCAAAATTCTTAAATCAACTTTTGTATATTAGCAAAGTATTCAAAAAATAACAAATTTTTCTAATTAATCTAACTAAAGTTTAAAACTATTTGCTAGTGTTTTAAACTAGGTTATTTAAAGAATAACATCTTTTGTTACAAATGTGTTTCAATACATTATATAAATTTAAAACAAAGATTGCATTTATGTATTGAAAGAGTTTATAAAAAGAGTCTATTTATAAAAATTTCATTAAATTGTTTTCAAAATTATATTGTACGGTATATTTAGGCATAGGGTGTGAGTAAACTTACATAACATTTAATTATGATTTTAATGAAATTTCACTCTAAAAATAATTCATTCATCATACAGTTTTAAATAAACTTCCAGCCCTTAACTGTAATAACAAATTTCTCAAATGATTTCACAAGAAAGCAATTTCTACGAAACAAATTTTCAAAAATATTTTAATGCCATAATTATAATCATAGTTATGATTACGAGAATATGCTTATTACATGTAATTTACTTAACTGTCAAAATAACATTGCAGATTCTTTTATTTTTTAAACGAGTGTTTATTTGTTTTGTAAGAATTTATGTTCAAAATGTCTTAAGTATTAAAAACGGATTATTCATTGACTGAGGGAATGGTAGCGAAAACTTGTAAAAAATTTTAATTCGTTTGACGGGATGTCTAGAAAAAACACTTTAAAACTTGTAAATAATTTACTGAACGTAAAAAATAAATGCAAAATCGGGTCAAACATCGGTATTAGTAGTGGTAATACTCCAGTAGTTTTCGTCTAACAGTAGGTTTTTGTCTCTATTTATATAACAAACAAATATAAGTGAAGTGAATGTAATAATTCAGTTGTGAACACATCATAAACCTCTCAACTTATGCATTGGATACAAGTGTTGTGTTCAACAGAATTCAAAGTAAAGCCAAAAATTTAAATATAAATTTTTAGAGATAATGAACTATTTGAGTGATATATCGAGTAAATTAGGCATTCCTCGCATGCCCTACTGTTTTGGCAAATAATTTGTTGCTACATTTTATTACTTATAATTATTTTCCATTAAAATTTATTATTTCATTTGATAGGATATGGAGATAATCCGCCAAAAACCCGCACCGGACAGGCAATCACAATGGTGTACGCATTTGTAGGCATTCCTATACTGCTGATGGTGTTGGCCGACATGGGAAGGATATTCACGCGTGGCATCAAATTTATCGTTAAATACATCCGACGCCTGTATTACACAAAAAGTCTGCGAAAAGTGCGAAGAGTTGGCCGAAGTGTCGGTAATTATGGGCGTAGGGCTACACTTCATAACATCCGGGTATTTCTTTCACTCATATATTCTCTTTCTTATCTTAATTATGAATTCTGGTCACATTTAGTATATGGACTCANACGCCTGTATTACACAAAAAGTCTGCGAAAAGTGCGAAGAGTTGGCCGAAGTGTCGGTAATTATGGGCGTAGGGCTACACTTCATAACATCCGGGTATTTCTTTCACTCATATATTCTCTTTCTTATCTTAATTATGAATTCTGGTCACATTTAGTATATGGACTCAACTGTAGGTGCCATCAATCGAGGCATCGCTTACATCCCATATATACCTAAATCGAAAGACGAGTCAAACGATTCAAACAATACTAAAACCAAAACTAATCTCAAAACTAATCCCAACACTAATACTAATTCTAATACTAATCCCAAAACTAATCCCAAAACTATACCCAAAACTATACCCAAAACTATACCCAAAACCGACGACAAGAATAAGCCAGGAATCGCCAAAAGTCCTGCCTTTTGGTACAGAAACTCAGCCTCAAGAGGGGCGCCGTTTATCGTGCGCACGAATCCGACACCACCACAAACGGCCACCTCTTCGCCCCCGGAAACACCACTTCCGGATGACGTACTGGAGATCGACGACGAGTTCAACCTTCCCATCACTCTAGCCATCAGTATATTATTCATATACTTACTGATCGGTGCCATCATATTCTGGTCGTCCGAGAAGTGGTCTCTTTTGCACGCCTTCTACTTCGTGTTCATATCGATGTCCACAATAGGGTTCGGGGATTACGTGCCCTCCAACCAGCCGGTGCTGTTGGCGGCGTTCAT